CTAAGGGTTCCTCAAAGGCCGCAGAGAAAGATGTTACCTGATGCCAGAAGGCGTTGGAAAAGCAAATTGAGAAACACTCTAAGGAGGCTGAAAGAACTTCCCAGCCTCCTCCCCCAGCTCCAATATCCCAGGCTCAACAGCCACCAGTGGCCTTAGATCTGTCCATGCCACACAGGCCGGCTAGCACCTTACAGGCCTCACCAAGTGTAAATATCCCGAGGCGAGCCCCTGAGGCTTCACCAACAGCGGCTGGCCTATGACAGGAGGAGTTCCTGCCAGATGAGGTACCAGGAACTATGAAAGCATGGATGGAGCTTGCAATCCACAGAGGAATCACAGCTGGGGTCCAACAATCCTTGATGACCAGACAGATACCAGTATCAGAATGTGACTCTCAGTAAGATCTCTATGCAGAACTGACCTACATTATCCTCAGGTACCTCCTCAAGGGGAGTCTTCTTTCATTTCACATATGCATCCAGACATACAGGAGGAGGGAGAAGGTAAGCCCCAAATGGAGCAATTAGATGCAGTATCAGTTCCAGATAGTGAAGTCCCCTTGGAGGAGGAACCCCTAGAAAGAGGCATGTCCGAGGACAAGGACCTCAAGCCAGACCAATCCACCTTTACAGGGCTATTTCATCCACATCTTTTCAAATCTCTTCAAGGCCAAAACCACAGCTTGCCTTGAAAAGTCTCCTTCTGTTCTTCAACCAGAACCTCAGGAGGAATCGGAGGATTTGATTTTCTCACAAGCCATTAATGAGGTTGAGGTTATTCCAGTTCCGCAAATGTTTTCAGACCTGATCCAGAAACAGTGGACCTCAGCAGCCCCTACTAGCTTTGATAAGAAATTCTTTAATTTAGCTTCTGGATTTTCCAATTCCCTGAATACCCCTGAAGTAGATGAGCCAGTGGTGGCCTTAGCATCCTCCTCCGCCATTCCCACAGAAGTGGAGCAGGCCCTCAAACCGGAGGAGAAGAAAGCCGAGATAGCACTACAAAAGATGCATCAGTCTGATGTGTGGGACATAAGGGCGGCAACAGCCACGTTCCTCTTCACCAGAACCTCACTCAGATGGCTACGTCACCTGAGGGACATCATACCAAATTCTAATGTTAGGGCACACCAGGATATTGCCAAATTAATTGTGGCCGCAGAGTTTTCTGCAGATGTACATTTGATTCGGTCAAGTTTTCAGCTCGAGTCATGGCATCGCAGGTTACGTCCCACCGATTGCTATGGCTTAGACATTGGCAAGCTGATATCAAACACAAATGGAGACTCGCTTCTTCCCCAATTTAGGGCAATAAATTGTTTGGCGCTGCCCTGGATCCGCTTCTAATTGAGACCAGAAGCAAGAAAAAGATTCTCCCCTCCATTCTCTGCCGCTCTGACAACAGAATTTTCAGCCCTTTCGGAGAGGCTTCTTTCACCCCTATTATCAAGTCCCATTCTCCCCCAGATTCCAGAGACCTCCAACATATAGGGAGCCCAGCAGTCAAATAGATCAGAATTCTCTGACAAACCTTGCAGGGGTGGACAAACAAAGCGATTTTCAGGGAACAGGAAACAGAGGTTTTCGCCGTCCAAGATAAATGCAGGGATCTCACTCCCATTGGAGGACAGTTAAGGCTCTTTGCAGACCGATGGGACTCTTCCACATCGGATTCCTGGGTTCGTGACACCATCAGATTTGGCCTGGTTCTAGAGTTCTCCTCCACACCTCCGAACTTTTTCATGAATAGTCCTATCTCCCGAGATCCGGTTAAAATGAAACTGATTGAACAGCGATCAGTCACTTACTAGAAATTAAGACCATCCAACCAGTAACCCGGGATCAACATGGACAAGAATCCCAAAAGTTCGTGGTGGTGGTAGAGGGCAATCCTAGATTTAAAACATCTCAACTGTACTCTAGTCTACCGCAAATTCAAGATGAGTACGTTGCAATCCATTCTCCTTAGCATAAGAAAGGGTGATTTTTTGACTTCCATCGATTTAACAGAGGCTTATCTTCATATACCAATCAGACCTTCTCATTCCAAATTTCTCAGATTCTGCTACAACAACCAACATTTTGAATACGTCGCCCTGCCCTTTGGGTTCTCATCGGCCACTAGTACTTTTACAAAGGTTCTGGCTGCTCTGGCTGCACACCTTAGGAGCATTCCAGTTAGACTCCAGTGCTACCTGGATGACATTTTGATTTTGTCATCCTCATCCAGGCAGGCAGAACTGGATACCCAAATTACATTGCGAACCCTTCAACAACATGGGTTTTCCATTAATTGGGCAAAGAGCCATTTGTTTCCCTCAACCCATTTATCTCACCTGGGCTCGATAATAGACATAGTAGAAGGAAGAGTGTTTCTATCCCCTGAGAGACAGGAGATCATTAAACCTTAGCTCAGCCTATCAGAACCCTCAAATGGGTTCCTCTAGCCAATTTGTCTAAACTACTGGGAAATATGATCTTCTGTATTTCTATTGTTCCTTGGGCTCGATTCCACACTAGATTGCTCCAATGGTATCTGCTTCCATTCCAAAGATGGAGACTAAGCAATTCCAGGAACAGAGTGTTAGTTCCTACAAAAGTCTGGCTATCTCTACACTGGGGGACAGCTCCAGCCATCAACAAGGGATGCCTGCTGAAAGAACCCCAAAGACTCACCAGAACCACAGATGCCAGTATGTTCGGATGGGGAGCTTATTTCCAGTCTTCTCGGCTCAAGGGTGTTGGTCAACTGCAGAAGAATCGAACAGCATAAATTGGTTGGCGGTCAGGGCAGTCCACTTGACCCTTTGCGGTTTCCTCCTACATATTCAAGTGAGACACATGCTTATACTGACAATGTCATAACAAAAGCACATATCAACAGACAAAGGGGTACCCACTCAAAACATCTCATATGGGAAGCAGAGAGACTGTGCCGTTGGGCGGAAAGGAACTTAGACTCTATCAGAACGGAGCATATTTCCAGCCTGACAAACACACAGGCTGACTGGCTAAGCAGGGCCACGATCGGCCAATCAGAGTGGCATCTGCATCCGGACCTGTTTCAGGAGGCAGTCCAGAGACTTGGTCTGCCAGTTATAGATCGGTTCGCTTCTCCCCTGAATTCGCAGTTCTTGAGATTTTTTTCAAGATACCCATCCCAGGGGGCGAAGAACGTCAATGCCCTCTGGTGCTAGTGGCCCCGGGGTCTCCTATATTCCTTCCCCCCTCTCCCATTGATACTCAAAGTGATACAAAAACTACTGGATGAGAAAGAGAATTTTGGTGGCAACCTTTGGCCCAGGAGACCGTGGTTTGTGGATCTCGGGCCTATCCGCAGAAAAACTGTGGAAAATTTTACCGCACCAAATTCAGCTCACCCAAGGACCGATCTAGCACCTGGACCCTCAATGGCTCCACCTAGCCATTTGGAGGTTGAGCGGCAACATCTAAGAAAGGAGAATTTTTTGACCAGAGTGATTAATACCATTCAAGCGGCTTAGCGCCCTTCTATGAGTCACATATATAATGCTACATGGACTATCTTCTTCAAATGGTGCATCAAATCCAGGGTTGAGCCATTTTCACCGTCAGTTGCACAAGTTTTAGAGTTTCTCCAAGATGGTCTCGACAGGGGCCTCTCTCCAAACATTTTAAGATGGCAAGTGGCAACCATTGCCTCATTGGTGACTTGGGAAGGTCTACCATCCATCTCCTATCACCCATGGATAAAGAGTTTTGTTAGGGATACTACAAATTTATGTCGACTAGTAGTGCATCGTTACCCGACCTGGGACCTTAACAAGGTACTCATAGCACTCACAAAAGGTCCATTTGAATCTCTGAAAACCGTTAGCCTCCATTTTCTCACATGCAAGGTTGTTTTTCTCGTGGCTATAATATCAGCACATCGTATATTAGAAATCACAGCCCTATCTGCCCGAAAGGACCTCTGTATATTCCATGCTGACAGAGTGGTGCTTCGACCAGACACCTAAAGTCAATTCTGCCTTCCACAGGTCACAAGAACTAGTTCTCCCTAACTTTTGCCCCAGACCTTCTCAGGGCCTACAGCATCAATGGCACTGACTGGATGTCCACAGAGCTCTTCATACTTACTTACATAGAACAGCTCCTTTCAGAAAGACTGAAGCTCTTTTTATATCCTTTCAGCCAACCTCCCAGGGGCAGAAAGTTTCTCCTTTGACTATAGGCAGGTGGCTGAAGGCCACGATAGCCAAGGCATACAAGACTCAATCACTGCCTGTGCCTAGGGGCATCACGGCCCATTCAACAAGGAGTGCGGCAACTTCAGCGGTCTGGGCCACACAAGCTCCTATTGCAGAAATATGTAGAGCGGCAACATGGGTCTTCCCATCGCCTTTCATTAGGCATTACAAAATTGATCTATTTGCTTCTGCTGAAGCGTCCTTTGGTAGGAGGGTGTTAGAACGAGTCCACTCAGACAGTGGGGAAGCTCCAACCCAACGGAGACCCTGCCATAGGACAAGCCAAGCTTTGGTATGTCTCACTCTCTGGATGCTAGGAGCAGCTCAATGGAGAAGGGGCGTTGGTACTTACTTGATACGCCTGTTCTTGGTGAACTGCGACGAGCATCCAGCCCCACCCAATATCCGTCTGGTGGGGACCTGTTCCGGCCAATGACTATTCTGGATATAAGTTTAAAAAAAACATGCAAACAGACCAATATAGAGGATGGGGATTGCATCACCTCATCTTCGCCAAAACTGGGGGACGCTAGGGAGGAGCCAGGGAGGAGTAACAACTTCCTATTCAAATAAGCCCAGCCTATCCAAGCAGAGACTAAGCAGTTCCCACTCTCTGGATGCTCGTCGCAACTCACCGAGAATGGGCGTATCAGGTAAGTACCAACGCCCCTTTCCTGCAATTAAACTGAAAAGCTGAGTTTATTAAATGAAACTAAAAATGTAGCATTTTCAATTCACATACTTATAATAAAGTGATCTTTCTGTTTTGCAGTGTAATGTTCAGGTTCAGAAATGCCTTATGTGGATCGTCAAAATCGTATTTGTGGTTTTTTAGATATTGAAGAAAATGAAAACAGTGGTAAATTTCTACGGAGATATTTCATACTGGATACAAAAGAAGATAATTTGGTATGGTATATGGATAATCCACAGGTAAATGTCAACTTTTTGATTTTGTTTATATAAATTAGATATTGTTATATTTATTACTGTAATTTGTAAGTTTCTGAAAGGTTCTGGAGGTTCTAAAAATACTAAGTGCTAATCTTTCATATTTTTGATTGTGCTAAATATTATTTTAGAATTGTGCAGCATAGCGAGCATTTATTTTTAAAATTCAGCTGATAATCATTTAAAACTTGTATATCTTTATACTATGGATAGGCAGCTTTAATTCCCATCAACCTAGACAGCAAGGAATAATAAACATCACTCATTGCTGAATCTATTTCTATGTTATATAAATAAATGAATTATTTAGCAAGTGTATAAATGGGATAATGGTACTTATTATTTGATTATGGGCTAAAATTGACAGTTAAGTGTTATTTAGAGAAATATAACATGAAGAATACATTCCATTTTTGTTGCTACTCAAGAAAATAAATAACTGCAGAATTTTGCAACTTGGAATAATGTGCAGTAGTGCAGTTGCCTTCAACTAACAAAAAAAGGTTGTTAGAACTTTATAGGTAGTCCTCGACTTATGACTGGTCACTTAATGATTACCAAAGATCCAGAAAGCACTTTTGGCCATTGTAAAATGTCAACCCTACCCCCCTTCACAAAGTCATATGATCACATTTTGGCAGTTGGCAATAGATTCATCTTTATGATTTTCAATTCTGTTTACTGTAAAAAAGATCCATTCAGAAGAATAAACCTAGAAGAATGAGTTCGCATGTAAAACTATGGTGTTCACTTAATGAATGTGGATTTGCTTAATGATACTGCAAAAAATATGAAACTGGTCTGGTCATGTGTGTTTCCTCGATTTATAACTATAACGATTTTAATCAGAAATCCAAGTCCAGATATGGCTTTAAATCAAGAATTATCTGTATTTTAAAGTTGGATAAATTTTGAAATATTTGAGTTGAAATAATAAGGGTTGTGGTGTGTGTGTGTGTGTGTGTGTTTCTTTTACACTAATATGCTGTATTCTTAACTACAGAACCTCCCCTCTGGATCTCCACCCGTTGGATCCATTAAGCTTACTTACATTTCAAAGGTATGTGTATGCTTCTCAAATTAATGAATTTCCAAGTTCACAATGTGTAACAATAGCTATTCACTTATGAATAGCTCATAATATAATTCATTTATTAAAAAAGTCAAAGCTTATTAAACATTTGCATCTGTTTTATAATTAAACTAAAATAATATTTCTTGGGGGTGTTTTAAAGATGAAGTAGGGTACAAAGCATTGATCCAATACATTGGGATACTCTATGCTTTTTATCCTTTTCAACCCTGAACTACAAATATTGTCCTTTATTAGTATCATATGCTTTTACATAAAAAACCCCTTCATACCTATCTTTTATGCCATCTATGCTGTGTTGTCTGAAATGGTATAAGATCTCCTGCTCAGGCAAAATGTTGGACTAGAAGACCTCCAAGGTCCCTTCCAACTTTATTATTCTATGTTCTGTGTTCAAAATAGGAGTTGTAATTATATTTAACTGAATATGTAATCTATGCTTTAAACTTTAAACAAACTAGAAAAACCAGTTTTTACACAAATTGTACACAGATAAAGATAGCTGGCTAAATAAATCAGGAGATGTACAAACTGCTAATATCTAATATTTAAAGTTTGTAAAGTTATTGGATACATTTTTCTTGTAATTAATAGTATTATTAAAAAGTGCATTTAAGTCAACATATTTACAATTTTATGTAAAAATTTGTTTTTATATGTAAAAAAACACAACTTGATGAATTGTGTTTCAGTAAGTTCTTAAGTGAAATTGTACTTCAGGGAATTCCTAAGTGAATGAAAGCTTACACACTTGGTCTTTACATAATAGAAAAACAATATCTTTTTGTGAATCTGAAAATGTACTTGCTATTTATATGTAATTGTTTATAGATTCAAAATAAAACACAGTCTGGGGACTGAAAGCCGTCTCAAGATTTTTATATTACTTTCTCTTAAGTACTTCACTGTGAATTTGATGGTGTGTTTCAGATCATTAATTTCCTGGAAGCTCTTTTACTGTTGAAATTTCTTCACTAAGACAGGGACATTGTTCTAGGATTTTGATGGTTTTCATATTCATCAATCCTTCCTTATACTCATACAATATTTCCTGTGTCACTAGTTTCTGCGTAGTTCCAAAACATAATAGACTATTGCTATGTTTTATAATTGGCAAGGTGTTCTTTTCTTCAGAGTTTGCATTCGTCTTTTACTGCAAACATTTCACACTTCTCCATATTTTAGACAATGTCTTTTGTGGTGAAGTTAGCCTTACAAAAACTTTCTGATACAGTTTTTCTGTTCTGGAGAATTACTCCAGAATTAGCTGTACTTTTCAGCAGGTTATTTGCAATAATCTGTAGCTTCTGTTTTTACATATCCAACTAGTTTGAAGGAAGTTTGATCAAAGATTTTTATTTTTTCAGATCTTGCCTTGACCCTATTTTTAACCACATTTCTCACCATTGAGATTGTTATCTGGGAGCATTTCAAGATGTGGCTATTTTAATAGCCTTTCCATGTTTTGTAAGAGTCAGTTGTCTTCAAATTTAGATGGTCAAATAGTTATTTAAAGAAGCCCACAGTTATTAAAAGTATATACCAGTCACAACCTAATAAAATAGAAGGGTCATAGTAGTTGTAGAAGTGTACTATAGGCCTAATATGGCAATCATGTTTTAGAGCTTTATTAACAAGTTTATACTATTCTTAGAGAAAGAGAGAAACAAAGTAGTATCAATTCAGTTGGAAGGATTTCTAAACATCTGCACCTAATATACTTAGTTTCCTTATTTTAAACGTGTAAACAATTGTATAATGGATAAGCATTCCAATTTTCAGAATGCCAGGTTTAATTGTATATTGTAGAGATTATCAATTTTTGCTGATTTGGAGATTCATTGATCCTCTTAACCCCCAACCCTTAAAGATCTTAAGACTTGAAAAAAGTACTATACGTACCTTCTGCAGATTCTATTTGTGCTTTAGAAATAGCCATATTTTTGTCCTCCCCAGTATATTGTTATCAATAGTTTTGATATACTATTTCTATATTTAATTTTTGTAAACTTCCCAGAGTTATAATTAGTAGGTGTTCTTGAAATTTAAATTATAAACAAATAAAAATTAAGCAGAGTACATAAACATTTTAAAGTAAAGGTACACTTTACAGTTACACTTACAGATATTTAAGTAAGTATTAGGTAAAGGAACATTATTCTCAGAATCTGTCAGCAAGGCTTTTTTATGCAAGTTAACTTCTCTCTGCTTTAGTTTTTTTCAAGGTTCTGTAGCAGTATTACTGATCAACATTTCAAAACTTCCATGCTTTGAAAGAGTTGAAAGTCATTTCATTTTTTTTCCAAATCCATTTTGAGTGAAATGGATTTGGTGGAAAATTCAGAACTATAAGAGAAAAGAAGGGCTGCTGATACAACAATACACATATAATATGTCTGAACGGACATTTTTCTAACATGAAATAAAATATTAAAAATAAACATATGGCTGATTTTATTGGCACCCATGTCATATTTGTTATGTAAGATAAGATGTGCTCTGGATTAACTGACTATATAATTTTTCTGGTATTATATAGTAATTTGTATTTCAAGCTTTTTTATTTGTCAATGATAAATAAGGCTTATATAGAACATAGGATAATAAAACATCCTTTTGCTTATTGTAATATCAATAGTTTCTGTTTAGTTCCAGTTTTATCAAGAAGTTAAATTAAAGTATTCATTCTTCTATGTCACTGAACAATTTTGTGATAAAATGTGTCCATTAACTAGAATGTATGAGTTTTATTAAATGGATATGATAAATAGC